TACATCAAATTTCAAGTTAGTGTTTAAGAAGGGAAGCAATAAATATTTCAAACAGAGAGAAAGAGAAAGAATTAGGAAAAAATATATATTAGTAGACATTTGTATGTTCACGAATCCTCAGTTTTCTGCTTTGGTTTTGTATGAAATAAGGACTTGCCATTATTGCCTTATAGTTGAGAAGGAAATGCCCATTGGCATTGCTTCAGAACGCCCGTACTGATTGCCTCAGAATGTTTGCCCTCTGTTCTGAGCAGCATCGCTCACTTCTGGGCCTCATTTTCTCATGCAATTTCAGGAGCGATTGCCAGATGATCATAGTTAGTTGCCAGTCATTCATGTTTAAAACTGTCTTTTAAAATTACATCTGTGAGGAAGTACATTTTAAAAATATAATCCACATATTTGTATCATTTGAGGTAAAATTTCTAATACTATTTTGATTGAACATGTCAAATAAACTGAAACCGATTTCCTTAAAAAAAATACATTGTTTAACAACATGTTCAAATGGTCAATATTCATTTCATACTGAAAGGGCAACTGCCTTCCAGCAGCAGGTCTATGGATATAGTGATGTCCACATTTAGAGAAATTTTCGTTGAGACTCACTATAGTATCATTTTTCCTAGGTACTCTTTGAAGAAAGACAGTTTTGCTCACAATGGCTATAAGTCTTAATCATTGCAAATGGAGATAAAATCCTAATTAATTAATCATTTAATTACTTTTCTGTTGCAACGAGATTTTATCCATTTCATTTACATGCATAACTGGTTTAATAGTTTTTCCTAAATAGGTAGTTTGAACTAATAGCCTGGAGAATCAAATAATCAAACCAATGCTGCATAGAAAGTTGGAGTAAATATCTTATCTTATAGAATTTAACTGGTCATTAACTCGCTTTATGAAAGTTTTAAGTAATTCTTACTGCCCGCTTCACCCTGCTTTCTTTTTGTGGGTCATTCTACTCAGTTAAAGTAGCTTACTCTAGCAAGTGCGATCATTGAGTAGGTCAGAAACACATATGTCTTCTCACTGTTGCCTATTTATGTGAAAATTTTATTCCACTCTAATATTGCTGTTATGGCCTTTGGTAAGTCCTTAGCTTGTTCCCTGTGTTTTTATATCAAATTATAACTTTCAAAATGTTTTCTCAAGCATAATTTTCCTTTTAATCCTGCAACAATTGTAGAATCACATGTAGCCATAAAATAATACACAAAGATACGATAAACATTTGGCCAGTATCTTCCCAACTTGTCATTGATAACATACTGTATAACAACAGAAAAAAATCACAGCTAAAATGTTAATATTGAGTCAATTAATTTAAATTATTTGTATTTAATTAGTTTGAAATGCACTCAGGGATAAGGGAATGTGTGTGAATTTAGCTTTATGAAATTTTGTCACATATGAGTTGTCATGTGACTGAAAAGCCCTATCACAATTGGAGCACTGACAGACATCCTCACAAGCATCTTATTGTTGTTACTACTATCATTATTCTCCTCTTTCTTCCCATTTGGCAAAGTTGCAATCAAAAAAAAAAGAAAATGTTTTTAACACGTGGTGCTGGAACACCTGGACAATCATGTATTAGTTTGTTTTAAAGGCAAATCTCATCCTTACTTTACACAAACTTAAGTTGATACATGTCACTCCTTATTATGGGAGGCTGGTCTCCACAGTTTCAGTTACTCGCAGTCAACAGTAGTCCGAAGTTATTAAAAATCACAATTTAATAAAGTTAAAATCCATGAGCTTTAAACTGCAGATTGCCACAGAGAGCATTAGAACATCTCATACCATTCTCATGTACTTCATCTGGGATAAAAATCATTCCTGTGTTCAGTGTCAATGCCATATGTGTTATTTGCCCATCAGTCATTTGGTCTATGCATGATAAGTATAGTCTTTCAATCCTTATGGTTGAGTAACACTTATTAAAATAATTCTTAATACTAATCTATAGGGGAAATGTAATGATCCTGGAAAATTGGGTAAGCCAAAGAAAAGTCCTAACATACTCCCTTTAAGTGAAAACATAAAAATCACTACTTTATGAGGAAAGAAAAACTATCATCCAGAGGGTGCTAAGATATGGAAAGAATGCATCTTCTACCTATGAAATGATGAAAGATAAGTTCTTCTTCTATTTCAAATTATTAATCACATCACTATAGTATGTGAAAAGTCTTGTACAATACCCAAATTTAGGCATCAATCAAAAAATCAAGATACATCCCTCACAGACCAGGGTGAATTATACTATCTAATGAACTCATATCCAGATAAATGTGACAGAACCATGTTGTACAACAATTTCCTCAGAAGCTCATTAAGACTCAGGAAGTCCTATAAAGTTCTCATTAGGACTCAAGAGATAAAGAGCTCAGAATTCTCAGGAAATCCCTGAAACTGACTAGTTGTACCAGACCCTGCCGTCCCAAGACTATATAAGCAGTAATACATACTGCAGACACTCGTACAATATAAGCCATCTGGAAGAGATACTCTCCAACCTCTACAGTTCCCTGCAAATTCTTCACTGGGTTCTATGTTTCTGGCTTCTGTGAGCCATCACGCATACTGGAGTGAGCTATCAGTGATCAGCTGCTTTTGAGTCATCTCTGTTCCTGTAAATAACCCTCCACCCATACTCCTGTAATCAACCAGAATAAACTCACTGTTTTACCAGCCTGGATTTCAGTGGTATGGCTACTTTGGGTCCTCAGTTCCCTATCTGGGGTGAATAGACATTTGTGTTGCATCTCACCAGAAAAAAAATGTTACAGAGCCAACAGAGACCTGAGAAATAGACAGCTCACACATAGCCAGCTGAGTTTTGACAGAGGTGCTAAGGTCATGCACTGGAGATAACCAAGTCTTTTCCAAAAATAGTATCAAAAATGAATTAATCTCTTATACATAAGACTTAAAATTACAACTTTCTTTAGAAAAAGACTAGAGGAAATGCTTTAGGATAAAAATGGACAAGGATTTTTGGACAAGATCCTAAAAATCCAGGAAGCAAAATTTTATAATGGACAATGTGTTATTACTTTAGACTAAAAGACTTCTGTATAGCACAGGAAAAAATAACAACAGAGTGAAGAGACAACCTATAGAGTGTGGAAAATATTGGAAGCTATCTGAAAAGGGTTTGTCATCCACAGTACAAAGAAACTAGAAAACATCAACAGTAACAAGGGACTGAATAAACAACATGATTCTAAAAAACAGTCAAAAGACCTTAAATAGATGATTTCCAAAAATAAAACATACAGATGACCAAGTGAAAAACAGCCAGGCCAACATCATGAATTACCAAGGATATTCACATTAAAATCACAATGAGATGCCATTTTCTCCCTCAAAGAATGGTTCTTAATAAAAGGATGAAACGAAGTAAGTGCACAGAAGAATGTGGAGCACAGGGAGTCAAGGAGCATATTGTGTGGGAATATAAATTAATACACTCACTACGAAAGGAGTATGGAAGTTCTATGGGAAGTTAAAAGCAGAACTTCTCTATTCTAGCAATCATAAGCTTGGGTATAATCTAAAGGAAATGAAATCATACTGTTAAAGAGACATTTACACTCCCATATTCAACTCTAGTACTATTCACATTCCAAGAAATGCAAATGGCCTAAGTGGGCATCAACTGACTAATAGATAAAGAAAATGTGGTACATATGGACAATCAAATACTATTAATCAATAATCAAGGATGAAATCTTGTCACATGTGACAAAATTGAGAGAACTGAAAAATGCATGACAAAAAGACAAATACCGTATAGTGTTACTCATAATAGTCAATTAAATTTTATCTGATAGAGGTTGAGTGTAGAATCATGATTAGAACAGGGAAGAGTTGGGTGAAGTGTGGAAAGAAGTTGATTATTATACTCTAAGTTACAGCTAGAAGTGAGGAACTCTTATGTGTTATTACACCACAGTGATTATCATATCATTAGTGCAGTGTACATTGCAGAAAACTATAAAAGTATTTTGAAAGTTTCATTATAAAAATGATAAATATTTGAGAAGACATATGATTAACTTGATCTAAACCTTATAGAAAGCATACATGTATTTAAACATCACATGGTACTTTATTAATAAATACAATTTTTATGCCTTATGAATCAACCAAAATTAATTTAAAAAATCATATCAGATACAGAAATTTTATAATTTGATTAATATATTTCTTATAAAATGAAAATCTAGATTTCCCAAGAAAAACAAATCAATAAATAAGACCCATATGCTAATACTTATAGACAATACTTTAAAAACATTTTTACTTATTACTTTTTTTTATTTATTGCCTGCATGTAGGTAAGTGCACCCGTGTTGTGCAATGCCTGCAGAGGACAGAAAAGACTGTTGGATCCCCTGAAAATAGAGTTAGGGACAGTTAGCTGCCATGTTGGTGCTGGGATTCAAACCCAGGTCTTCTATAAGAACAGTCAATGTTCTTATCCACTGAGCCATCTCTCAGCCACTATAGATGATTCTTACATAATTTACTCAAAGCTGAAATCATACAGATGTCTGTTGGCTAGAGAACGGATAATAAATTTTGATTCATCACTAAAAATGGGACATAAGTCATTTTTCCCAGTTGTCCTTTTCTGCAGAATCATATATTAACAACTGTTTTTTAAAAAAAACTATTTTATTTATTATTTTTATATGTATGAGTGTTATGCCTGTATGAAGGTAAGTGCAGCCGTGTTGTGCAATGCCTGGGGAGGACAGAAGAGGCTGTCGGATCCCCTGGAACTGGAGTTACAGACAGTTGTTAGCTGCTATATGGGTGCTTGGATTCAAACCGGGTCTTCTGCAAGAACAGACAGTGTTCTTAACCAGTGAGCCATCACTCTAGCCCCCTTAACAATGGTTTTACTTAAAAAAAAACCACAATAGTACTGTTTAATAAAAAACAAAACAAAACAAATTAAAAAAAAACCTAACATAATCTTGATCCTTTTTTGGTCGATAAACGTGATGACGCAGGATGTTCACGCCTGTGTTGACATGCCTCCCTCAAACCTTGTTACATATCAGCACATTACCCATCTGACGTGAAAAAAGAAAAAAAGAAAAAAAAAATCTTATCACACATATGACAAGAGAAGTAAATCTCAGATTCATTACAACCGTCAAAGAAACCAGAAAGGTTAGTGTTGTGGTTAATATTAACAACTTGACAAGATATGGAACATCTAGGAAACAAGCCTCTGGCTATGCCCATGAGGGATTATATTGACTATAGGGTAAGTGATGTGGGAGGCTCAATTATGAATGATACCATTTCATGGGCTGGATTTTAGACTGACTGAAATAAAAGGAGAAATTGAACCTGGCACTAACATAATCTCTCTTTGCTTCCTGACTGTATGCAGTGTGACAAGCTGCTTTATGCTCCTCCTGCAGAAACTGCCTCTGAATTGTGAACCAAAATAAATTCTTATTTCCTAGTTGCTTTCATTAGGATTTTATCAGAGCTCTGAGATACATAACTAATTCAGTTATACAACGTTTGATTCCATATTCTAAGAAGCTTTATGAATAGTGGTATGATTAAGAGTTTCCAGACAGCAAACACTTTCTATGAACGACAACTTAGAAGTCTTAGTGAGAATGAATTAATCTATATTTTTATTATGATGAAGACAGTAGAACTATTGATGTGTTGGTATTTGTAAGCGTTCAGCAAAATGCATATTAAGTAAATATATTTATATATGTGTGTGTATGTTTGTATGTATGTTTGTGTATGTCTCTGTGTATTCATTAATATCATATGGTGAAAGTTAAAACATGATATATAAAATTGTTGTGATCATTTGAGAAAAGCAAACTGTACATCTACATGTAATCACAGAATGCAAATTTTAGACACTAAATATACACATGAAGGAATTATAGAGGACTCAGAGGATACATTTAACTGCTAACAGACATTTTGATATAACAAATATGTCAGAAAATAATTTAAAATTAGTAACAGAATGAAGAATACATTTTAGTTATATATGAGACAAAATATTTATAAGAAAATAAACAATTTGACCAAATAACTTTAAAGTTGGGAAAAATTACAAAATAATCTAAAGATTAACTTTCAAACATATGAAAATATTTAACTTCATATTATATTTTATAAAATATTTAATTGCATGCTATTTTGAAAATTATATACATATATATTTTCTCCAAAAGATTGCAAAGTAAGAAGAAAGAATAATAGATATGCATCATAAAATTTGAATTGATCAATTTATGAGAAATCTTTTATGAAGATTTCGAAAGAACATTAGTTGGTTTAATTAATGAGGAAAGTGATAACACAAAACCAACTTTGTTTAAATTTTATATCACTTACAATCCATTTATTTAAAAATATCTTGATAAGCACATGTGCTAAGAAGAATGTATTAGAATTTTAAAATATTTAAAGAAAACATAGAGATTAAATATCTGGTTGTATTTGTATTGAATGGGCAACACAATGGCATTGCAGTCTGTTGAATCATGAAAAAATAAAAAATACCCCCTGCACTGGAATGTGGAGAAGTCAACTCATATAGATGAATAAGGAAGTTACTTGTTTCATATGAATGAATATGCAATTCTTAGAAAATCTAGGGTCTAACTCCAGTTGTGAAGCAAACCACACTGAACACAAAAATTCAGGTTCATTAGTATTTCGAACACCATGAAAATATATAGTTTTATAAATTGAAATTTGTTTGCATTTCAGTGTAAAAAACAAAAATGAAAACAAACACACCTTTACTTAGATATAAAGTGGGCATACTGTGCTGCAGTACTGACCTTCAGTGAAGTAAAACGACATTGCAGAAGGGCTTATGCTTCACGGAAGCCACTGCCAACGAGGAACACACATTTGAATTTTTAAAAATATTTTATTTATTATTGTTATTTTATATGTATGAATGTATTACCTGCATGTATGTAAGTGCAACAGTATCATGCAATGCCTGTGGTGGTCAGAAGAGGGATTGGATTCCCCTGGAACTGGAGTTATGAATGGGTGTTTGCCACCGTATGGATGCTGGAAATCAAACTGAGGTTCTTTCTCTGAAAGAGAGCCAGTGCTCTTTAACCTCTGAGCCATCTCTCCAGCCCCCTTGAATGTTTTTTTTTTTTTTTAAGGAGTCACATAGTAAAAGTTATAAAGGGACATATAATAAGAGATTGAGTAACCATATATATTACAAAATTTTAAGAAGCCATCAATACATTAATGAGATATTTCAAAATCTTTAATATCTAGTTAGGAAACTATCCTTACACAAGCAAGAGAAAAATCCCTTCATTTGACAGTCACGGTTAAGGAATGGAAATTTATCATCCTCTGTGTGTTGAGTGCAGACGCATTTGGAAGGATGAAGCATTTTAAAGAAGTTAGGTTTTAATACATGAAAATAATTCAATTTTACTATTCATTTTCCTGTATCACACCTCTTCCTGAAGGGTACAAAATAATCCTATTTCAGTTTTGAATAAAAATGATAAACATGCAATATTAAATTTAAAAAGATAAAACAATTCTCGTTCTGTCTGTATTTTCTCCTAATCAAAAGGGAAATTAGTCCTTAGAAAGTTTACCGGACAAATTCTGAATGCAAGAATAGGCTGTAGCAGGTTTAATAATGTCAACTCATTTTGGGTTTTGCCCAAACAGAGAAGAAATGGGTGGAAAAGAACTCTGGGAAAGAAAGAAAGATGCTCACTCCCAAATTTAAGAAAAACTCCAATCAAACTTTAGTGCCTTTAACACCTTTTAAAATTTTTGTTAGTAAAATATAACTTTTGAAAATTTTTCTTTCCTACTTCATGATCATTGACTGCCTTTCTATTCCCCAAGAAAAGTCAAGCTTAATTTGATAGTCTTAGGTAACAACTGAGGCTCTTTAAAAAAAAAATCAAAATGTGTGTTTTCAAGGGAACTTACAGATTAATTTGCCCAATCACCTCACCTTCTAAGGGAGGAAATTTAAAAAAAAAAAAAAAAAAAAAAAAACCTTCCACAAAGGGAAGAATTGCTTCCTCACTCCATGCTAATTACCAGGGAGCCCTGGCAGCCTCAGCCTAGGTGAGGTCTCAGGCAGAACACAACTTTGTTCAGGATTTCAGTTCTGTTTAGTTTCTTTTTTTTGTGTTGCCCTTACTAAGGGCAGAGAAAAATCTATAGGCTTTTTAAAGCTTTATCTGACATTTCTACCTCTTTTTTGTATGTTTTATATACACAGCTTGGAAT